GTAAAGCTAAATGTGCAGCAGGATAATAAACTCCAGAAAGTAATTCAGTAGCATTGTAAAAAACTTCTAAAAATTTTAAAAATACTCAGCAATCTGCCAATCAGGATCGAGAATTAAAATTTGATCATTCTTACTGTTTACGTATGTCGTGATAAGCTGTGAATACGGGAGTGCTGCCCTCAACATTAAATATGTTGAATTCCACCTATGTCTCACGTCAGTTGGAAACTTTCTTGGGCGCATTTGGCTATTCCTGCAATATTGTTTGAATTCTTAGAGCCGAACTCCAGAACTAGATATGAAGGATAATGATTCTCTAATATTTGTAAGATTAGCAGAGATATGTTAAATTCCTGCCTGAACTACTAAATTAATTATGTGACATGCACACCATTGATGAAAAATTTCCCTTCCAAATGCCGGTTTCAAACTACGTTTAAATAGATTAATTGCAGCTGTATTAGCTAACGCATTATCAAAAGTAATTGTTAAAACTTTATCTTCTATCTCATAAAACCCAAAAATTTATATTATTGTACTGAAAATAGCTGTTGTGTTATGAGGATATGGACATAAACGAAAACTAATTATTCTTTTTTTGTAAAACCCAATCGTCATCAACGTAGTGCGTTGTAACACATAAATATCCAGTTTTATTACACCCCTCCCACAGATCAGAAGTGCAAGACACAATAACATTAAAAGTCCTAAAATTATCAACAAGAGATTGTCTCATTGCATAAAAAACTTTCATGCTATCAGAACGAGTTGTGTTTCTACTTACCCGTTTAAATTGTGGGCAAACGGCTGTCTGGATGAATTCTTCGAAGGAGGCATCATCTGCAAAAGAAAGAGACAATTCGGCACTAGCTAGAAATTTAGCTAGTGCCTCACGAGCACGTTGTGCATCGTATGTAAAATTTTGTAACCCATGTGATGTGAGTGATAGTGTTTGTTGGCGGGAGTCCACACTCCCACCTTGGTGCAACGGTAGACATATTTTCCAATGTCTATCCAGATGACCAGTACCCCCACCCTTTTTATTAGAAAAAGTGCTTTTTATAATATTTACATACCGCACGAATTTCCATCTCACTTGTTTTTGGATTTGGTCGAGGCTCTTCGGTGAAATGCTGCCATGCCGGAGAAGTTCGCGGTCTTTTTCCTCTGCTGCGTTCTCCAGCTTCTTCGTTGTATACTGAAGCATTATCCACCGGAGCATTTTCTGGTTCAGTGGGGGTGGGGTTGGAAGGCATCATTTCTTCCTCAAAAAATGTCTCCTCACCAAGCTCAGGAAGAGCAGTGAAATCAGAGAAATTTGGTGAGGCCATTTTCCGGAAATTGATAGAACTTGATTGAACTTTGTAAATGAAAGAGCTAGAAAATGAATGAACACGAGAAAAAAGCTTAGAATCAAAATCAAAGAGACAAGTTGAGAGGTAGAATAAGAGTGAGATGAGAATATGAGAGTGAATTGTTATGTGGGATTTATGGTGGAATTAAGGGGTATTTATATGGGATTTTTGGGTTAAAATTCGGTTTTTTTCCGTTGGGCCCTTCGCGGGCCCGTCACGTGCCGAACGTTGGGCCCGCGAGGCCCACTGGACCAAATGAAATGGGCTTCTTTGTGGGCCGTTCGCGGGCTTGGGCCGGGCCGAATAAGGGCCATACCGCGGGCCTCCACGTGCTTGAGCCGCGGGCTGAGAAGTTGAGGCCCAGCCCTAGTCCATTACACGTGCCGTATCGGCACGGCCCGTAACAGTAACGAACCGGGCCGTGCCGAATCAGGCACTATTACGGGCTGGGCCGGGTTGTCCATGGACAGCCCGGCCCATTTGATTGACACCTCTACTTTTTATTTCACAAATTCTTCTCTGATAAAACATTGAAACTTTCTTTTTTTTTTTTTTTTTGAATGCTCCATCTAACGTTTTACCAATTTTTGTGAGATTATTGTATTCATTTATATGGGTTAGCTAGGGAAGATGGAATTGAACTCGGTGTATGTAATTTAATGCCCTTATTTAAATTTAATCATGAGTTATTGTCAATGATGTTTAATTGCTGTCTCGTTGTCACAGTAGGAGCTATTTATTTTACAAATTGTAGAGGTTGGGTTGATAATAATTAATTGAAAATTGCAGGAATAATGAAGAGTTTTTCCCATCTTCCCGAAGATATATTGGAGGAGATCTTCTTGAGAGTGCCTCCCAAGTCTCTAAAAAGTTGTAAATGCGTTTGCAAGCTGTTTTACGCTCTGATCAATAGCCAGTCATTTATAAACAAGCAACTCCATGTCCGTAAGAAACATTCGCCTTCCATAACCTTATGTTAGATCAAAAGCGAGTAACGTCCATGGTTACCATCTCTGACAAGAATGAGGGTGGCAGCGATGACGTTCCCTGTGTCGTTGAAGAAATTAGTTTGCCGCCTGTCCCGGAGACAGAGAGAGCAAATTTTCCAGTGACTTTAGTAGGTTCTCATTGTGATGGCATCATTATCTTATATGATCGTCGTGCCTATGGAAAAGAGACATTTGTTTTGTGCAATCCAAAACTTGGGTAATTCAAGCTTCACCGGAATTCCCTCTATTCATTTTTGCTGGCGCTGGATTTGGATACGATTCGAAGGCTAATGCTTACAAGTGTTTTAAGCTGTTGTGTCATGCAGTTAAGGAAAATGTATCTAGAGCATTCTGGGTACTGACTCTTGGAGGGAAACTGAGTTCAATTTGAATGTTAACTGTTGTGTTGATGTTGATGTTGAAGGGGTGTATTACAAAGGAGCTTATTACTGGTGGAATTTGGGGAGGCAATGGTCCAGGAAAATGGTTCTTTCATTTGACTTGTCTGAGGAGGAGTTTCATCAAATACAAGTGCCAGAACATGCCCAAGATCCAAGAACAAAAATGTGGAAACTTGCTTAATGGAATGATTCAGTCGTCTCTTTTATCTCCACCGATTACTTATGGCATTCAAAATCTTCTGAGATGTGGGTGATGGTTGACAACTTCGGTGGTGTTGAAGGCTTTACTTATTGGACCAAGCATCTTACAATTGGCCCACTGGTGTGCATCCATTATCCTCTGGCATTTTGGAAGGATGATGAGTTGCTAATGCAAGCTAGAGATGGTGGAACATTTGTGTCGTATAACCTTAATAGCCAAAAGTTTCGAAAGCTTCCCATCCATGGAATGGTGATACCATGGGCAACTCATGCTTATTTATGTTCCAAGAGTCTAGTTTCAATCAAGAGAAGAAAGAATGGTGTTGACAAGGGCAGTCACGCTTATTTATATTCAAAAGCAAGGAAAAATTCTTAGGAAAAATGCTTAAACAGACGAGACTCTTCAGTGTAGTCTGGCAACTATCTATTTGAGGTTGTGTTTTTTAGAACATATTTATGCCTTTCTTTTTTCCCCCAAGAAGTTATGTGTGGATGAAGAATCATACTTAAAATTATGTTTATTCCTCCTCAATTTATTTACTTCTACCGTCTTGCTAAAATGTGTTTGTGCTTGTTATATTTTTGATAGCTTGTTTAAGATGAGGAAAATAGTGGTAACCTTATTAGGAGAGGAATCAAAGCAATTGCACTATCCATCGCCTGAATGTATATTTTACTCGAATTTGTTAGAGTGCGATCCTAAGCAATAGCTTTTGTGTAGATCCTAGATAGTTTTTTGGGATAAAATTATTTTAACATCTTTTGTTATAACGAAATATGTTCATGATATTCGGTATTTTTTATAATATTAAAATGATACCTTAATATTTTAAAAAATCTATTTTTAGTATCTGAGTCGAATTTTTGGATGTAAAATGTTTATACATTTCTAATTAATTAAATTAAAACCCATAATTTTACATTTATTTTTTTTTGGAAATATTTTTAACATATTTAAGAAACCAAAAGCAGCAAATCTAAATTCAAATCCAAATGAGATTATCCTGGATTTTTCTGCACAAACCAGAATCAAGTTTAAAATTTACCTCAATAACAACTTTAAAAAGAAAAAGATAGAAAACAAGATAAATACCTTTCAAATAAGTACTCCAACTAATTTCTAACCCCCAAAGATTAACTCTTTGATTCCAAATATTAGCTCCTTAATTTCTACCATTTTACAATTAAAATAATAAAAATAGTTAAATTAAACATTTTTAAAATTCTAAAATTGCCCTCAATGACCCATTGGTAAATTATAAGATATGCCGGCAAGACCCGCCGGCTGATTCATAACCTGACAAATTACACCAACCGCCGACAGGTCTCTGACCTGCCGCCAACCATAACCTGCCAAGTTACACTGGCCCCGGCAAGTCTCCGACCGGCCGCCGGCCATAATCTGTCAAGTTATGATCCATAACTTGACAGATTACGCCGACCGTCGACCTTCATCATAGTATGATAGGTTATGATCCATAGACTGCCAGTTTATGAGATTATGAGATTATGATAGGTTATGATCCAATATGACAGGATAGTCTATCGGTTATAGACTGCCAGTTTGTCAATTTATGAGATTATGATCCATAACCTGTCAATTTATGAGATTATGATCCATAACCTACCAGTTTATGATGTATAAACTATCAGATTATGTCCATAACTTGACATGTTATGCCATAACCTGCCAAATTACAAAGCATAATATGCTACATTATGTTGTTTTTTTCAATAAGTATAACTAGATTTATAGCAACAATAATCAAATTGAAAAATTCAAACACACAAGAAATATTGAACAATCAATAACACTAATAATCCTTCTAATAAACATAAAATCAAAATATACCTATCAATTCATAAACAAGACATCATGGAAAAACCCATACCGAGTATCTAAGGTAAAAATCGCTTAGTTCTAAATTGTTTACGATAAAGAACTATGTGGCAAGACCATTTACTTAAGTGCAAAAGCATTTAATGCAGTAGTTAACGTAAAATATATTTCATCACCTGCCAAGCAAAACAAAACAAAACATAACATAAAAAAAAAAAAGGAAAAATACTGCATCTCATTCTAATTCCTATATAATTCAGGCACACAATTTCTGGTATGAAGATATGCTAAAAATGTATGTCAGAGAGAAAGCAACTAAAATTCCCCAATCCAACAAGAACATGCAATACCGTATAGGCACTTGAGCCTCCTCCTACTCTGTTCTTAACTCCAGCTTCACCATATTGATCATACAAAGCTCGCTTTTTATCGTCTGATAGCACCTGACAGTGTTGTACTTCAGAATTAAAAGACAATATCATAAATATGAAAAAGGTCAAAAAAAAAAAAATAAAGGCGAAGTGAGCAAATGGATTGCATTAACTCCTTAAAGTATACCTCATATGCAGCACTAATATCTTTAAACTTCACAGTAGCTCCAGGTTGCTTGTTCACGTCAGGGTGATAGAGTAACAAAACATATATAAGTTCAGGTTCACATTATTTTATGCGATATTATAATAAATTGAACCAGTTTATATGAATAGTTGGGATGTGTAATTCCCAACTATTCATATAAATTGGCAGGGGAATTCCCATCTACCATTCACTTTCAAATTATAATATCCACAATAATTTAATATTCCCCCAAACCTCTAAGAAAAAGGGGACTAAAAACTTCAGAGCAGTGATTTAAAACAAACTGCTAATATATATATATATAAAAAATATATATATATATATATATATATATATATATATATATTAAAAAAAAAAAAGATGAAACGTGAAGAACATAAAGGAAAGTATAATGCTATAGCTGTTGTCCAAAATTCAGAACTCAGAACCATGCTAGCCCGAAATTAAAGAGTAAATTCCTTGAAAAAAAAACAAAAAATTAAACAAACTACATAAGCTTATCTAAGAACAAACAAAATTCGTATGCAAAAACAAGAATGGAAGGGAAAAAAAGGCGTAAAAGATAAGAAAAAACCATACAATATTAGAATTCTGCGAACCCCTAGTTGAGAAAAGATAAGTCGAATGTCACGCTCTAAGATGCTTCAAAATTCCTCGAATTAAAAAATCATAATCATCATAATAAGAATAAGAATAATTTATATTTTAACAAAGCACCATTGAAAAATTCAATGGCGAAACCGAAATCCTCACGAAAACTCATCAAATACTCTCGAAAGAAGCTGCATTTCAGAGCAACCAAAGAAAACAACAATGGCGAACTGAAAAGCTTACCGGCTTGGAGAAGATTGTTGACGATTGTGGAGATCTTGGCGACGATCTCTAGATCTTCTCCGCAGCGATCCGAGCCACCGGATGTTACTGAGATCGAGTCATCGGCGGAGATCTTGTCGGACCCGGTGCAAATTCGTCTCGTTGCCGTGAAAAGAGAGAGAATGTCGCGGGTTCGTCGCAGATCCGGTGGACCATCGCAGAGGCATGGAGAGAGAGCGCCGCTAGTCCGAGCAAGCTCCGTCTCGGCGGCGGCCGAGAGAGATCGACTCTGCAATTCAGATCTCCCGGAACTTGGACGGAGAGGAGAGAAAGTGACGGAGAAAAAGAGAGAGGGGGCTGGGAAGAGAGAGATTGGCGGAGAGAGAGGAGTCGTGCGAGAGAAGAGAGAGACTTATGCTCTGTTTGGTAAGAAGGAAAGAAAATAAGAGGGAAAGGAAAACTATAATGCATAGAAAATTAGAAGGATAGAAAAGATTTTGATTTTCTCTTGACTTGTTTGGTATGATAGGAAGGAAAGAAAATGAATCTACATTCCATTGTTTAGTATTAGAAGTGAAACTAAAGAGATGGAAAAATTATTATTGGTGTAATTACTTTTTTGTCTAAATATTTTTTATTAATATTCTTTTCTAATAAAAGTATAAATAATACAGTATTCAACATCAAATTAACTCAAAAAATTCATGTAACTTGAACATAAATTTCCTTTCAATTTTCTTTTCCTTCCCAATTTCCTTTCTACCAAACAAGTTAATTTATCAATTTCTATCCTAAAATCCCTCCAACATTTTCTTTCCTTCCACTTTTCATTCATACCAAACATAATGTTAGAGAGTGTAAGAGAGAGAGGAGAAACCGAAGAAAGACGAGCGTAGAGAGAGAGAGAGAGAGAACGCGCGAAGAGATGAGAGTGAGGGGCGTGCGGCGGAGTGAAGAGAGAGAGAGAGAGAGGAGAGAGAAGGGAGGCTGAGAGAAAGAAGGGGGAATTAGGGTTTAGACCCGATTCAGGGTATTTTAGTCGTTTACATCCCATTTAAAATGTGAGATAAATCACATAAAAAAATTAAAAATCATGCAGATTTAATAATTAAAAAAACTTAATTTACCGATACACTAAGTGTATTAAAGAATCACCTAAATGTTAAAAGGGGTAGTCCATTTTAAAATGGTAGAAATCCTAAGTTAGGTGATTTGAAGGCAAAACAAATTACATGTTTGGAACCAATTCTGAAAACTTTTTTCACGTTTTTTAAGGAGCAAAAAATGGAAATGATCTGAAAATTGCGTTTAGAGCAATCTTCAACCAAAACCAAAGTTGAAAATGTTTTTGGCCTTTCTCACAAAATCGTACAGCTTCTGAAAACGAATTTTACTCGTTTTGCATTTTCTATTTTCATTTTCTCCTCACTATTTTCTCGTACCTCACCAAATCTAAACCAGAAGTTCTCGTGATCAACACTTTTCGGAACAAGTGGTCTCGACCAGCCAAAAGTGTCGGAGTCTTCATCGGTGGCGGAGTGAAGAGAGAGAAAGGGGGGAGAGAGAAACGAGGCTGAGAGAAAGGGGAGAGAGAGAAATGAGACTGAGAGAAATAACAGGAGAATTAGGGTTTAGATTCGAATAAGGGTATTTTAGTCCTTTAAATCGCATTTAAAATATCAGATAAATGTTAAGGGACTTTCTTCGGTACGCCAACATACGGGTGTGCTAAGTTTTTTGTCCGTCACATTTATATAAAATCACGTTAAAAAGTTAAAAAGTACGCATATTTAATAGTTAGAAAAACCTAACCTACCAGTACACTATGTGTACTAGAGAATCTCCTGAATGTTAAAATGGGTAGTCCATTTTAAAAGGGTAGAAATCCTAAGTTAGGTAATTTGAAGGCAAAACCAACTGCCTATTTGGAACCAATTCTGAAAACGCTTTTCACGTTTTTTAAGGAGCAAAAAATAGAAATGATCTGAAAATTGCGTTTAGAGCAATCTTCAACCAAAAACAAAACTGAAAATGTTTTTGGCCTTTCTCACAAAATCGCACAGCTTCTGAAAATGAATTTTACTCATTTTGCATTTTCCATTTTCATTTTCTCTTCACTATTTCCTCGTACCTCACCAAATATGAACCAAAAGTTCTCGTGATCAACACTGTTCGGAACAAGTTGTCTCGACCAGCCAAAAGCGTCGGAGTCTTCGTCGGCAGCGGCCAAAAGTGAATCCCTACCTTGAGAAATGATCTAGGCCGTCGATTTCCAGACGGATTTTCCGATGTCATTGATCGCTTGGCCGACCGATTAGAGCGACGATTGTGGCAACGACCTCGAGCGACGCCGGGAGGTCCCTCACGGCGCGTGAGGCGGCATCGCGGATCACCGTTGTCTCCATCCTCAAGCCGGAGCCGAACTCCTCGAGATCCTTGCGATAGGTCTGGATAACCGGCTCAAATTTTGTCGCCAAGGTCTTGATCAGACCGCCGAAGCTCCAAGCTGTACTCGAATTCGAATCCGGCGGTAACTCGGGAGCAGGAGTGTCATCGTTTTGGGGCTCATCGGAGTCGGAGGGCTCCAAGGGTTCATCGGCGAAAATGAACTTGAAGAAATCCATTGAAGGAGAAAAGAGGAAGAGTTCGCAGTTTTTTTTTTTTTTTTTTTTTTTTTGGTGAAAGAACGTTTACTGGACAGGGAAAGAAGTTGAAGTTAGGAATATATCACCATAAGATTCTCATGGGGAACAAAGAAAGGATTTATAGGAAAAGTTTTACGATCAATATAAATGAATTACCAAACAACATTTTTGTTTTTTTTTTATATTGAAAACAATCTCATAATAAAACTACCAAACGCATTTTCAGAAATAATTCCTGCTTGAGATTGTAAACGATTTCTTTTCCATTTTCATACAGACTATAACATTATTTTAGAATGAGTTTCAAACGCACCCAAAAATTTTAAGGGCTCGTTCAGTTCGCTGATGTGAGTTTTTAATTCGAGTTGAGATGTGACTTTATGTGAGAGCTTTTTACTATAATAAAATAGTAAAAAAGTTAGATGTGACTGATTCGAAGAGCTTTTTACTGTAACAAAACTCGAATCGGTGAAATAAATTAGGCCTAAATCTCCCAACCCTACTCGGTCCCACCTAGGATAACGTGGAGGTAAAAAGGAAGAACAAACAGAAAGGCTGGCGGCGTCCCCAAACTCATGGCGCAAAATCCCTAAAAAGCCCAATCAAAGGCGATTTGTGTAGTCCAAATCAAACGTTCTAAGATCTGATGAACCTTAAGGGCACATTATCTTTGACAGCACAATCTGACAATGAGCGACACGGGCTAACAGCAATGAGAAACAACCGGCGACGAACAGTGAAACATCCGACTATGGATTCCTTCTGAATGTTGTAATCAACCAAAGTCCTTCCATTCTCCAGTTGCTTCCCCGCAAAATGTTGTAAACAGATTTGAACTGCAATATTCTTAAAGTTTGGTTTAGAAATGTTTAGTTAGCAACTTGAATATGCTTTGTCGTGGAAGGAGAATGGATTTGGTTTGTATTAGGATGAATTTGGTTTTGTGGTAGAAGGGGAATCTTGCATTGTGAATTTGGTTTGCAACATGATTGATTTCTTTTCTTTATAAACACATTTTAAAATTTTCATATATTAAATTTAAAATTATTAGTTTTTATTCAATTAATGAGAAGGGCATATAATGCATTTTACATCTCAAAAACTCAGTTTAAGGTAGGGCTGACAATTCGTGTTTACGTGTTGTGTTCGGGCCGACACGATTACGGCACGACACGATTATAATAAACACGAACACGACACGATTAATAAACGTGTCAGAAACCCAAACACGAACATGAACCGCTAATAACACGGTTAACACGACACAACACGCGAACACGATTACTAAACGGGTCGTGACGAGTCAACATAAAAAAAACACGCTTATGACCCGTTTATGATCCAATTAACAAAAATAGTGAAATTTTATATTGTATTCAAAACTAATATTAATTGACTACTTAATATCACTTATAGTTAAAATCATGCGAGCATATAATAAGAAAAACATAAATCCTTCAATTCTCTATAATAACCAACACACATAAAAATATTCAAATATCAAACATATATATATATATATATATGATACTACTAGATTATCATATAGATATATATATATATATATATGTGTGTGTGTGTGTTTCAAAACATAACTAATTACCAAACATCCAAAGAAGTTTGAAAATATAACCAAACATTTAAATGTTTAAGTGCATAAAACATAAAATAATATAGGAAAATGTCTTCTTTGAGGTTGAATGCCAAACGACGCTCCAAAAATCAAAATTAGTTTCCAGTTGCTTTAACCTATTCATAGAGAAAGAAAACATTTTATTAATGAAAGGAAATTTATAGCACGGGCATGCCACAAGGAAATTCATGTTACCTTCCATTGCATTTAAGGTATTGAGGTTGTGAGAATTTTGAGATGACCGAGAAGTGGGCTCATTAATATCCAATGTAAAAACAACTTCAGTAATTTCATCCACGGCTTCACGAATCGATTTGTTGTTTTCTAAACATAATAGATAACTTATATAGTTAAGACTTAAGATAACGGCGGAGGAGCACTTTGGAAAAGAGATAACGGCGGGTGAGAGAATGAGAAAAAGAGAAGTAGGGTGAGAGGAAGGACCAAAGGAAGGGTTTACTCTAAAAAATATTAAATATATATATAAACTTGCTTAATAAACTGGCCGGGCCATGTCGGCCCGTATAACCAAACAGGTTAACTGTGTTAAACAGGCTGACATGAATCCAGCTTATTTATTTTCATGTTATTCATGTCAGCCCGTTAACGACCTAATTAATAATCATGCGGTCCAAACTCATTTATCTCGTGTCGTTTTCGTGCCGTTTCATCGTGCCGTGTCTGAAATTACCGGTCTTAGTTTAAGGTACTAAAAAAAGGTTTTTGAAATGATAAGGTATCATTTTAATATTATCAAAAATATAAAACACCATAAGTATAGTTAACTATAACACAAAGTATTAAAATGATTTTATCCTTAATTTTTTTTATGTTTGTTATTTTGTTATGTACCTTTTCTTTCATTGTTATTAATAATATTCTTTTGTTTCTTATTACAAAAATACATGTGTTCTAATGTTAGTGGTCTAACATGTTATCCAAAGAACGGCTATTCAAGAGGGCTGAATTGAAAGATCTTTCAAAAATAATACAGTTATTGGAGAATTAACACAAATATCACTAATTAATGAAAATAGTCACTGCACGGAAATTTAATTGAACATTTGGTAGGCAATTTAACAACCACGCAATT